GTGGTACCTGCATCAAGGCGCCAACTTCACAGGTTAGTACTGGACACAGAGAGAGAGAGAGTTCTTCTTCTTCCTCTTCTAAGTCCACCTTCTCTTCTTACCCTCTCGCCACCTGACTTCTCAGACTATGACAGAGAGAGACAGAGTTGTGACTTGAGACTTGACGACATTGGATCCAGACTTGACATTTGGGATTCAGACATTTCGACGAGGAACTATTTGGGCCTGTGCCGAAGACTTGGAGTTGACGACATTCCCATCTTCCCCCTCCTCTTCGTCTATCCCCTTCCTCTTCGTCTGTGTATGGTATGGGCTGGCGCTGTCTTCCTGTGTGAAGCGCCAGACCCATTCACACACCATGTAACGATGATGATGATGTATGTTCAGGGCTGCATTACAACATTGATTGTTCGGATCACTGGTATCTAAGTCTTCCGCTGTGTTATCTTGTACTTAATATTGAAAGGTCGGTTCTTGTTCTGGTCTGCACGTTACAGTATGCAACACCAACAGTCCGACCTCTCTTTCACCACTGTGGACGGGTCCACTTTCCTTCTTTTAGGGTTTAGGGTTTTTTCAGAACAACCAAATTACCAAGGTAGCTCACCCAGATCTCCTGGTGGTCAAGAATTATCTGGATAATCCGGCCGGAAATTTCCAGTCGGATTGTGCCGGATGTTGTATATCCAGGCCTTGCGCAAAATAGGCTCATGGTTTCAGCATTAGGCGCTGTAGGAGAGTTTTGATGCCCTCCACGAACCTGCTTGTGAAAACAAATGCAGCATGCGCCGACAATGTATCTGAAACTGAAAAAAGGTGCCTGATCTGGCACATGTGGTTAACCAGGGGTGTTATTTTCGTCGAATTTTGCACTGAAACTGTCACATTTTGCTGATTTTTTGCTTTTTTCTGATCTGGACCATCAATCTCTGCAGATTGACGGCCCAGATCGGGCCTTTTCAAATTCCAATTTGGCACGGCAGGGGGGCCAGGGGGGACAACGGAATGGACCCGGCACGGTGGCATTGTTGTCGCCATCGGAGGGAGAGAGAGAGACACAGAGAGAGAGAGAGAGAGAGAGAGAGAGAGAGAGAGAGAGAGAGAGAGAGAGAGAGAGAAGAATTCTCTATTGATTTGATATTGTATGTCTACAACTAAAAAAGTATGAAATTACTCTCTTATAGTTTACACTTTTATTTCTTTTATGAGTTATATACATTCAATTCATCAATGATATTCAAATAGAAAAGGAAAATTATATCTAATTGATGTACAAGTTGTAACTTATTAACGAAATAGTTAGAAAACAGTATTGCGAGTACAAAAATAAGCAATGAACCCCAGAAAAGGCTAGTACGATGTAGTTCAACTTGGATTAGTCTCTCTCTCTCTCTCTCTCTCTCTCTCTCTCTCTCTCTCTCTCTCTCTCTCTCTCTCTCTCTCTCTCTCTCTCTCTCNCTCTCTCTCTCTCTCTCTCTCTCTCTCTCTCTCTCTCTCTCTCTCTCTCTCTCTCTCTCTCTCTCTCTCTCTCTCTCTCTCCATGTCTCTCTCTCCTGGATGACATCAACGGCGACGATGATGGTGATCATGACGACAGCGACGATGACCACGATGGTGAAGACAATGCCACCACCCGCGTGCCTGCCAATGCCACCACCCGCATGCCTGCCACCTCATTGCGCCACCTCCCCCCCTGTGCTCTCTCTCTCAGTGTCTCGCTCTCTACGATGATAACAATGATGGTGGGGACAATGGCGACGACAAGGATGAGAGTGATGGCCTTCTTCTTTTCTTTTTTTTTTCTTCATGGTGGTTGATGTTGTTGCCATTGTCCCCACCATCGTCATTGTCATTGCTGTTGTTGTTGTGTTCAATCGATCAATCAATCAGTCAGTCGATCAACAAAAGTAAAAAAACCAATCAATCAATCAATCAATCAATCATACACATAAAATGTGAAACTGTCCACCTTCCCCCATTTTCTGTGGGGAGGCCTTCCGAAGTGCAAAACACCCCCCGGTTCAAAAAATTATCTTTGCCACATGGCAGATATGGCGTCATCTGGATTCCAGGGTGATCTGGATGTTTGATGATGCGAAACGAGATATGGCGTCATGTGGATTATGGTGTGCCTCGACAGCCAACAAACCAGGAATGGGGGCTGTTCCTCTTACCAGTTTGGAGAAGACCAGTTTGCCTTCATTAGGAGGGGAAGGGGGCTCCTCTGGGCGGAGGCAGTGTAGGGACAGGGGGTAGTTTTTTTCAGGGGAGGAAGTAGTTCTGGGGTTTGTCCTTAGTCCTAATGTGAATTGAGTTCTTGTCCTTCACTGGATCTACCATAAAGAGAGAGGATGGTTTTTCTTCCCTTTTTTTCAGCTCCAGGGGGTGAAGGTGTTGGAGGAGGCTCTGGCATCTCTGTTGGTTGTGCAATTTGAATTTCCTAAAAATTCCAAAAAAAATATCAAAAGCTTTGCGCTGGTTGGGGTGGATTACATTGGTCCACAGGGTGGGGATTCTGCATGGTTGGATACAACGTGTATTACTGGTGAAGGGGGCCAGCTAGTAGGACGAAAT